TTTTAGCCTTTCTGCACTGGTCTTTACAACTTACAGGAAGTATTTTTCCTGACCAAAAAATTATTTATTTCTTTCAATGAATTTCCATTAAAAATTGACGTAAAAAATAAAAAAACATAACAAAAAAAGATGAAAATTTAAGTTGTTGTAAAAACAGATAATTGAAAACTCGAAAAACTAAAAATTACAAAATATTTCTTTCCCTTAAAAAAAGAGACAAAGAAACACTTCCAATATTTTTCAATTCAAAAACACATATAAACATTGACATTTGGGACCTAGTCCTGGTTTCTTCCCATGCTGTCAAAACACAACATTTTATGTCATTCATCTTGAGAATATTTTTTCGGTGCTGCTAGTTGTTGTGTAGTCCTCGAATGATTTTTTAAGCCAGCTTTACAAATAAACAGATTAAAACTTTAGCCAAAATCTGCACAACATATAGTAGATATATTATAAGGAAAACTTACATTGAAAATTTTCTGCAATAGTACATTTCCGTTGTAAAGGATTTTGAAAACTCAGTCGGTTTAAATTGCCAATTCCATTGTATAAACCTCAAATAAATCTTCATAATCAAGGTTAACCCGGAAAAAAGCTCTAACGTAAACATACTTTAATGGTCGATTTCGATTCTACTGAAAATGCGGGATATTGCACAGATCTTTCTTTTGTCTGCAAGTAGATCAATTTCGAAGAATTGTCTGAAAATCCACACAAGGACTTTTTTCTGAGTACTTTACCTTCTGAAAGAGAATTATTACCCCATACAACGGTACCCCCCCGTTATTCGGTTTTTTCATGACTTGAGCTACATTTTCCAAGGAACTCTTTCTGAGTACTTTACCCTCTGGAAGAGAATTGTTTATATAGGTTCATGATATCATTTAGCCCCCATACAACGTACCCTTGATATTCGGTATTTTCATGATTTTAGCCACATTTGTCAATGAAAATGTCTTTAACCCCTGGAAGATAATTGTCTACGATATCGTATAGCGCCCTTACAACGGTTACCCGATATTCGATATTTTGATGATTGTAGGCAAATTTTTCAATAAAATTGTCTGAAAATCCACATACGGATTTCCTTAATCCCTTGGAAGATTATTGCCAATATTGGTCCACGATATCGTATAGCCCCATTACAACGGTACCCCCCGAAAATAGATATTTGACGATTTTAGGGACGATCTTCACCGGATTTGTTAAAAAAAAAAAACCTTGAATTCGTAATGGGTACTGTAGCCTATGAAAAAATCAGTAAAGAAAGTCCTAAAGTCGGGCGAGGCCGACTTTTTGATACCCTACACCACTTTGCTAATTTAGTAGAGCTCCACATAACAATTAAAAGTTTTTATGGGAAAATTCAATCATACACGCTATGATTATAATTATAATTTAAAGTTCAAAGGACTAAATATGCCGAAATTCGGACTTGTATTGCCCATTTGGTGCTAAATTAATTTAAAATCGGAGAAAGATATATAAAGATATATATAACCATATATATGGGAGCTATAGATATATCTGAACCGAGTTCGATCATATGTGGCATACTTTTTTTCAGGCCTAATTTGATATATTTCCCTGAATATCGTTGTTACGGAGTGCATATTTCGGCTGTGGGTAACAAATACTACAAATCGGATGAACAATATATATAGGAGCTATAGCTATATCTGAACCGATCTTCACCAAATTTGACATACTAGCTTCTAGACTCAATTCGGTCATAAGTACCAAATTTCATCCCATTTGGGCAAATATTAGACGTTTGGTGCACAATAAAAGGTAAATCGGACGAAGTTATATATGGGAGCTATATCCAAATCTGAACCGATCTCGATAAAATTTAGCAAATGTATTTCTGAGCTGTATTTGATATATTCCCTCAAATATTGTTGTTGCAGAGTGCATATTACGGCTGCGGAGGACAAAAACAACTAATCGGATGAACAATATATATGGGAGCTATAGCTATATCTGAACCGATTTCGATCAAATTTAGCGTACTTATTTTTAGGCCTAATCTGGTTGTATGTGCAAAATTCTATACTATTCGGACTGATATTACACGTTTGGTGCACAATAAAAGGCAAATCGGACGAAGATATATATGGGAGCTATATCTAAATTTTGACCGATTATCTCCAATTTCAATAGGGTTCGTCCTTGGGCCAAACAAATGATATGTACAAAATTTCATCTCAATCGGATAATAAATGCGACCTGCATTTTGTTCACAAGAATACATGGACAGACGGACGGACAGACGGACTGACATGCATAAATCAACTCAGAAAGTGATTCTATGGAGATCCTCAAAAGTAACTATGGGTCTATCTCGCTTCCTTCTTCATGTTACAAACACATGCACAAAGACATAATACCCTTACCACTATGTGGTGTAGGGTATAAAAATGCCTATGCAGGCTCACGTCTTCGTATATCCTCCATATAATGGAACATCCCAATTTTCGGTATTTTGATCATTTTAGCGACATCATTCACCGGAGGTGTTTAGAGAGAGTTCGTAATGGGAACTACAGTCTAAGACAGACAATTGTCTATGCAGGCCCAGGCCTTCTTACAAGCCCCATATATCATCTCATTGTCAAAATCTATATTCATAAATCCATTGTATACACCCAAAATCAGAGATGACAACTGTTTATTTTCAAAGCGCGCATTTAACACGAGATATAATACGAGGAATTAATTAAATATGTTTTTGTTCATATTATTATTTTCAGAACGCATTAGACCAATATCAAACGGAAATAGGAAGCTGTACAGAGCGCCAACGTCATAGATGTAGAATCATGATTATTAATTCAGGCCATCAACTTGTTGTGCTCTCAACCACTCAAAACCTGCGATATTTCGGCTTAAACATGTCAGCATCTTTTATTTTAACTGGATGTTGTGTATATGTATATCAGAAAACACTATTTCAGAAATAAAATGCATGTTGCGCAATTTAAATGCAATAAGTAAAAAATATAAATAAAACATCGATGTATTCAGAAGAAGATTTCCTATATATGGAAATCGCATTCTCCTCAGCTGAGTTCACGTATAACGCTCTACTTATAAGTGGTATATAACATTTGATGCAGCCATAACGTGCCCCGTCGATATAACGGTTTAAGACCTTAGGTCTCTTTGGACCAAATTCGTTTCAGGACATTTGGAGAGGATCTAGGGGTATCCGTCCTTCTGGCAGGGACGTATGATAACTCGCGAAAGGACTTAAATCGAGTTCGCAGATGGGCAAATCTGTTCAAACTTTTTGGTACCTCCTACAAGAGATGTCATAATTTTCACAGAAAATAATCTACCTTACAGAATCACCAGATTTGGTTCCAACTCTGCAAATCCTAATATTTTTATGAGCTCAGATGAGAAACTGGAACATATCGAATACCTCCCCCCATATATCGTAAAATTTTTGAATAATAATTCTTATACAATGTGAAAAAAGAGTTCGATTGACTTCAAATTTTAGCATATCTCAATATTTCTTCCAACAGAAGATCTGGCACAAGATCAGATATCTGGATAAAAGAGTCCACTCCCCACAACGAGTCAAATTTTTGGATAACCGTGACATGATGAAGTTTTGGTCAGATATGAAATAGGGTAAGTGTACCAGTAGTCGGCACTTTTAGGATTTTCGCGTTTTTAATCGCTCACAATTCTGAATGGAAATTTTCAATTATTACAAAGTTAATTTATTCAGATTCGAAATTTTGTATAGTTTTTGCAATAATAAATAAAGTTTTAATAACTTTTTATTAAATTTCATAAATTTGTAGTTTTTTGCCAGTAGTCGGCACCACTTGCCAATTGTCGGTATGGCATGTTCCAGCAGTCGGCATACCAATTTTTTTGTAAGCATAATTAATAATAATAAATTAATTCATAAAAATATAATATTTTTGTTTAGTTAAACTGATTCGACGTCTTTATTGTACTTTTCTTAAGAATATTGATTGTTGAGGACCTTCACAGACAAAAATTTAATTTTTATTAGAATAAGTCATCCTTTCTTACCGAAATTGTACACAAAGACAGCTGACAATATGTTTGAAGTAAACAAAATACATTTAGTTATAATAGTTTCATTTATTTGGGCTTAAAAATAAAAAGTGTCGACTACTGGGACATGCCGAACTTAGGCACACTTACCCTATACAATATTTACTCAATCCTTCGGAACCTTCCCTACAAAGGGTCAGCAGAATGAATAACCATAACTCCATATTTTCCTGCGCATTGTCTATATTATGTACATTGTTTCAATGCAAATTTTAAAGTATTAAATTTGTTTTAGTTTTAATTTATTTCAGTAAATTTCCAAATTTTTAAATTATTATTATACGAAAAAAATAGAATTTTTATTTGTAAGAAGCTAAAGAATGTTGTTGCTCTGGGACGCAGTATACGATTCTGTGAACGCAAAGAGATTTGAAATAAAATTAAAGCAATGTATCAAAATCGTTGTTGTGCTCCCAAAAAGTATTAATATTTTTATTGCAGTTGTAAAAGAAAAGTCGAATTTCCCCATAGTATAATTATTGCACCCTAGCAAATCCCAGCTGATTTGACTCTATAGTAATACTAGTGTCAGATCCGATATGACGTTCTGTGATTTAATTTCATTTTTTCATATACACTTGTGCACTTTTTGATATAATATTTGACTGCAAGACAATGAAAACACATTTTTGCCTAATAATAGTAAAATTCGCTATTATTTTATTTTCAAGCTCTTTACTAGACAGAATAGCTTTTATTTATTATTAACTTTTTAAAATTCCACTTTATAATTTGAAATTCTATTTTATTTATACATACATTTTGTATTGTTTCGATGTTCGAAACAATGGAGTTGCCTCTTCAAAAATAAACACAAAATGAAATTGTATGCGACATGGCCACAAACGTTACAATCGGTTGGTACAACATGCCAAATATCAAAAAATTTTGATACTTTGTACAATCGAGACACAACATCGTACAACCGGGTCACAAACGACACAATCTTGAATACAATCTGTTGTATCGTGTGTGGCTTGCACAAGGTCTGCAAGTAAGCCCAAAATTGACAATTTATTTATTATTTATTTTTATTTTTTTGTCAAGAAGACTTAACAAAATATTTTTTTTAACCATTAAAAATGATATCGCTATCCATAAAAATGAAAGAAAGATTGATTTCAAAGCGTCTTAGCGTTAAGACGTTGAAAAATTCTAAGGATTTTAAACGCCGATTGAGAAAAATCTTTACAAAAAATACACGGACAATTGGAAGACAGCGTGGACACGAAATGCATAGTTGTAAAATGAGTTCCGTGGTTGAAACCCGAATGTTCGAAGAAAGCGGGGTACGATATCTGTAGATCCAAAATTCTTGCCTATAGCCAATTTGCACGGGGACAACAAATCTTCAATGATTCTTCTGGATCAGAGTAAGTTTTTAACAGGCAAATTAAATATGCAATACTAACAATTTCTCATTTATTGAATAAAGGCTATTCCGAACTACCTGTATAGACCAAAGATTAATTCTGTTGGACCTAGTAACATCAAATAATATTGATAATTTTTGTCCAAAAATTCGAAATTCGAAATTTTTTATCCATGCAAAATAATGAACATTTACACCTAAATTAATCCGAAACGGCAAATTATTAAATTCGAAATTGGCTTATCAGCTAGTCATGTTATAGTATTCTTATAAAACTGATAATTCTGACCCTTCCTTTAAGTACCACCCCTACAAAGGTTAAACAATTTAATTACATTCAATATATCTGTAAAAAAAATGTCTCCAATTTCTCTATAGACGAGCTATTTGTTTTTATGGACAAACTAATAGCGCGCTATCAATTGTGGTCCTAACTTGGAACCTTCACCCCGGAACCACTTAAGCATTACTTCGTGGTTCAGTTAGTGATTTTTACATCTTCATCCCATTTGAGGTTTATTATGTACGATTTTGGTATGTTCGACCGAATTAAGCCCATAAGTAAAAAATTTGGTGAAAATGAGTTAATATAGCTATAGCTCCCATATATATGTAGTGTCCGATTTGGTCTTTAAGCCCCTCACATTCGTAATGCGTTTTTTCATAAATTCTCGAAATGTGTTAAAAATGATAAATTTGTTAAAGGCCGATCATAATATGTATTTCTTCTCACTTTTATTCGCAAGTTAAATCCGATTCAATCGACATCAATTGACGTGGGAACAGAAAAACAAAACTAGTTTTTATGGTAACACCCTTAACTCAACCTAATGACGTTGATTTGACTGATTAAGATGGTGAAAGCTTTTGTTCAGGCAGGAGGTCAATTGGCCAACAATAAGTCAGCAAAAAAAGTATACAAAGTAAAAATCATTACATCTTTTGATCTGAACGAACGTTTATGGGCACTTGCATTGAAGTGTTTTTTTCGGCAGGTTTTTTTTTTTTTGCATTGCTTCGAGTTTGGCTGCATAAAGTCAGGAGCTTTCTATCTTTACGCGCCCAAGCGACTACTGGTGATAGAGTATTGCGGAGTGCAAAACAGCATAAATCCATATTAAACCCAAAAATTAAACCTTTACCCAACTCCGAAATTACTTAAGACCCGCGTTTCTCATTCGTGTCGTTGCAGTTGGCCGAAGTCGTTTTTCAGGTCTTCGAAAACAAAAAGGTGATCATGCCACATACGCACTTGTTTTTTGTTTTTCTTCTGCCTGCTTGCTCAATTGTAATTGTAAAATATCTTACGCAATTTCGCTCAAAAGACGCGATCATTTTTCACCAGCATAATTCCATGTACCAATTCAGCGAACAGCTAAACCACCAGCGGACCAATACACTTCCACCGAAAATAAAATAAATAAACAACCGTCAGCCCAAAATCACGTTGCCAGTCGAATATTTTGCGAATCGATCAATAAACGTGTTTCGAGCATAATTTCCAGGCCAAAATAACCAGTACTGGCTGCTGCTGCCATTACTGGCTACAATTTGCTTGAAGAACATATTTTGGCCGTATCTGTGTATCTGGACGCCGTAGATGGTCAGGTGATCGCTTATTGACAACGACATGTTGCAATATTAAGGATTGCTTGTAATAAAAAAACTATGCGTTTGACTTGTATATTAGAGTGTTCCGCAGATTGATAAGGGTATGGAGAAAGTTTGTCTCATTTTCAAACAATTCTAACAAAAACTTGGGCTCATTAAACGGTAATTAATAGAAGATTATTTTTTTAAAAGATTTCAAAGTTAAAAACATACTTTGCATTACCCTCGTATTTTTATACCCTCCATCAAAATAAGGTGGCCGCTTTTAACTCTTTGAAATACTCATGTCAGACCCAACAAAAAATATATGTTCTTGATCAGCGTAAAATTCTGAGTATATTTAGAAATGTCCGTTCGAACCAATTGAGGTAAATGGCTAAAATTTTGCACACATGTGTATTTTGCCAGTTCGTAAATTGACCGTACACCGGTATCCCCCGATATTTGGCATTTTTATGATATTAGCCCCATTATTCAACGGAATTGTGTTAAATCTCGTACTGGAAGATCTTAATGGGTACTTCAGCATATGACAAAAAATTGCTTATGCAAGTCCATGTCTTCGTATAGCCCCTACATAACGATACCTCCCAATATTCGCTATTTTTATAATATTAGGGACATTATTGACCGGAACTATTTCTATTTTCGTATTTACAGTTCGTGATAGTTCTACAGCCTATGACATGAACGATTCTTCCCGATATTAGGTATTTTGATGATTTTATCGACATATCCACCGGGAGTTTTCCAAATCTCGTATTTGAAGGTGTTAATGCATGTATAAGACAAAAAAAATGGGCATAAAGGTCCACGTCTTCGTATAGCACATACAACGGTACCTCCCGATATTCGCTATTTTTATGATTTTAACGATATTATCACCGGAATTGTTCCAAATTTCCTATAGCTCCCATATAACGGTTTTCATTCAAGCGGCATTTTTCGACGATTTTTTTGCAAATTTTTCAAGTTCCTTCCAAATGGTGTGCGGAATTAAAAGTTCGGCCTGGCTGAACTTAGCTGCTTTTTTACTTGTTTTGTTTTCGATTGTTGAACTCACATCATTTTTCATTGTTTACTTGGTGGATACAATTCGCTCATTCGAGCGACTCCCATGATTTATTTTTTTGTAAAATATGCCACTCGTCATAGGAAAATTTTTTAGATATGTAACACATTTTAATTAAAAGAATTCAATTAAAAAAAACAATTTGGCAAATGAGACTACCTTTACTGTTTTACCGCCATACAAACCCTAAAGAAAACAGACAGAACAAAAACTTCAGACCGCAATTACCCATCACTATGACATTTCGTATGGAAATCGAGGTCTAACCAGAATAGATTATGAACCGGTCGACGAAAAATATATAGGTGTTAAAGTTTAGGACTGAAAGAATCCTAGCCAAGTAGTGAGTTACCTGGTTCGAAATTTTCAGGCCAGTTCGCTCATCTTTTATAACATTAAACAAAGATTTTAAAATAAAAGTATTGATATTTGCAGTTAAACTACAAATGCCAGTAAAATCGGAAGGAGAACACAGTTTATATCACAAAGTGAGCGGTACCATTATATGGGGGCTATACATAAAAGGTGGACCTACTTAGGCAATTTGTTGCTACAGGGATTGTTATCAATACAATGTCTGCTACAATGTTTCATACCTATAGTTAACACCAACAATACATTTTCTATTCAAAAATGTGGGTAAAATCATCAAAACACCGAATACTCAGATGTTTCCCCAGCGGGTGCAGAACAAATTCTTTAGAAAATCGACCAAATATAGGGGCTATCTAAAACCCTGGACTTATATTAATGTTCTGCCATCTGCGACAGATCCTAGTTCGAACTCGAAGTACCGAATTTTATACAATTACGGTGAAATTTTGACTTCTGGCACCATGGGAATAATTACTAAGTTGACCTGCTTACTGTCACCTTTTGAAGTTTTGTGAGGGCTGGTACCAAGAGTCTTAAAGTGTGAGTATATTAGCAGTTTTGAGTCTTCGCGTGGCATATTTTATGATATATCATAAAGGGATTCCAAAGGCGCACTCGAATTCTGCCGTCGATTCCCTTTAATATGCCTACACATGATGCCAGGCTGCTTATGTACCCTCACCTTAATTCTTATCCATTTATTACTATGTGCCAAGTTTGAATTACTTCAAATATGCTACCTTCCATGGTACAATAAGGAGGTAGAACAGCTTCGTAAAACTGCGGAAACACAGCCCTGAGGCCATGCACGCTTACTGCCAGACTCGTTCAAAATTATATGCTACAAGTTGATTTCATTTTTTTATATTTTTCCAGATTTTTAAAATGAGTCAAATAGCGCGAAAAGTGAATGAAATGTCTGGAATTTCCCTTGAAAATATGATCTAAACTGTTTAATCTTTCAATTTCATGGCTAAACTAGTTAATAGCTTTAATGCGCGAGCCGCAATCTACGTGTCTTCCAATCATTGGTTTTGAAAATATTTTGTTTTCATTTTTCAAAACAATAAATACATACAAAAAATTAGCAGAAGTCGGGCACACTTAGAAAAAAATTGTAATCAGCTGATAGCTCTACCTTACCTTTTTATTGTACCATGCTACCTTCCATATTTCACATTTTTAAATTTATGTTTTTGAAAAATTTTCAACTTCAGTAGATTTCACATTTGCTCTAATATGGGGTATGTTAAGTTTTATTTAAAATTGATCTGGGAACAAGGGAACTGATGAGGATTGGTGGCTCTTTACGAAACCTAGGTATTCCCTGCCTTACCCCCTGGTAAACATTACTATTGTTCTCCAATAATAAACAAACGTTGTTTTTATAAAAACAACAATAAAGGGATCGAGCAACAACAAATTGGCCTGTTGTAAAAAAAAGTACTAGAAGGAGTGAATCAATACTGCGTGAAAACTATGCGGTTAGTGTGAACTATACCTTTGTGTGGACTTTCTTTTTGTGGACTTTTCCGAACACAATCTAATTTTAGCAAAAATATTACGATATGCCAGAATGGATACAATCTGTCCAGACAGACGGACCGACGGACATGTTTTAATCCACTCCAAATGTCCTGAAATGGATTTCGTCTAAAGATAAAAAATACACCAAAGATGAATAAGCCATAGGCTAAGTGTATAATATTAGTGTTTACACAATGTTACGAACTATGTCTTTAATATTTGGATTATAAGGAATGAATGTTCTAAATGGATTCTCCAACAAATATTTCGGGATATTCCACTCAATAATGGATATTCCACTCAATTATGCAGACCAACCTCAATTGGTATATTCATATCAATTCGCAGAATCCTACAGTTGGCGTTAACTCTCAGGTTTTATTAAAGTAAATTTATTCCAGAGAATGATTGCAATAATGACCCACCGTAGGAATTGTATGTCGTTTGCATTTGCTGATGACATTCAAATTTTGTTTAAAGAAGAATATGTGTTTATTTATGTGTTGCAGTCGTCAATTGATTTTAATATTAATATGTTGGTAACTTGGTTGTCCTGTAACGGTCTCTCAATAAATACTCAAAAATCTAAAGTTATGTTTTTTGGGAACTTGCAAGAGGATTCAATTAGAGTTTCCATTTATAGGACGCCTATAAATGTTGTAAGCTCGATGAAATGTCTTGGTTTGTTTCTTGATTCTGGTTTGGTGTTTGATGTGCATGTGAATTCTTTAGTGTCCAAAGTTGACTTTTTTTTAAGAAGTTGTACTGCTTGGACATAGTTTTGCCTAAGAAGATTAGAATTCAGTTGGTACATGCATTAATAATGCCTCACTTTTTATATTGTATTGAGATTTTTGGGGGTAGCTACGGTTTTGTTTTTCGTAAGTTAAAACTATTGTTTCATAGGGTAATGCTATATGTTTTTTGTGTCAAACGTCGTGATCATATATCTCCTTCTGTGAAAGAGTTTCTTGGTTGTTCGTTTGAGTGTTTTGTGAATTTAAGGTCAATGTTGTTCTTCTACAAACATTTTAAATTGAGGACATCTTCTACTCTTTTGCACCTTTTTAAGTTTTCGAGATCTGTAAGGAACCTGCAAATTGTTATACCACGCTTGACTCCTCTGTTGGAAAAATCCTTCTATGTAAGAATTGCTCGCATTTTCAACAATCTGCCACCTAATCTTAAGACATTCAATTCTTCCCTAAAATGTTATAGGCGTAAATTATATGCTCATTTCAATATTGTTTAAAATATATAGTTTTCTTGTGTTAATTTGTTTTTTTTCCTTGCATAGTTGATTTATCTAAATCTTCAATGAATTGTGATTTTTGCTAATCTTTTTTTTTGTTATTTTTTTAATGTTATGTTTAAGATTAAGGATCTTATGAATAGTTTTGAGTAGTCATGTATAGGAGTTCTTGGAACCATCAATCAATTGTTAATTTTATTCATTTTTTGTTAATTTGTTTTAGTGTTTAATTTTAAGTAATTCTTTTAGGGTTAAGGATATTATAATTAATTTAGAGTAGTCATGTATAGAAGTTTTTTGAACCGTCCATGGCCCTGTTGGCTAGGTTTCTGTACTAATTGAAAATAAATAAATAAATAAATAAATAAAAATGCAGTTGAATGTGTTTTGAATACATACATATTAAGACTATTTTATTTGTTACAAATTACATAGTTTTGTATAATATAAAAATAAAGTATATGTGTTTTTTTTTCTTCTTCAGTAAATACGCATTTATATAAATAGTACAATTAATAAGGGTGTTTGAATCGTTTTTTTGTTTTCAATGTAATAGTTTATAGTTTACACGAACATCTATGTATGTACTTGCGTACTCATCATGTATACATACGTAGAAACAATTAAAGCTAAATGTATCTAATATGGACAAAAATTCAACATTCCGGAGCGGATCCGTTGTTTACAGTTGGAGACTCTACTGTAAGTATTTATTTCTACAAATTGGTAATGCTATAACTAGATCTAGATTCTTCGCCTACTCCTTCGCACTGATAAACAAACACACATGTATGATACGTATGTATGTGTGCTATATACATAATATCAATGGACTCAAATTAAATTTCACAACGCCAAATGTTCATCTCCGACAGGTGGATGGACCAAATATTCTGCCACCGGATGGTTACAGCATTTACAATTTAATCTCGTTTTAATATCCTAATAAGGCACATGCGATTATGTTCTCTAGAATTTTCTTTACATATTTTGTTCAATTAATGACAGGCTTGATGTATATTGACATAGGGGATGTATCAATCCTTTGAAAAATGTTTTGGATAAGAGACTACCGCTGTGTACAACAATTGACATAGATCGCCCTGTTGACCAGCATCGCAAAACAATTGTTTTCGCGCTTCATAAATGGGTCAATCTGTGGTCTAACTAGCTTCGTTGCGATCGAACATTGGACATAAAACAAAAACCTATACAACGGATATAAGTATGTATGCAGTAGTATTTGTAAGTAAGTAAACTAAATTGTGAAAATCCTAACAAATGTTACGACTATCTTCGAGATAAACCTAGATAACAATAAGAATGGAAAATAAAAACTTAGGCGGTTATGTGGGTTAGGGAGTTGTCTTAGGCATGCTCGCGCATTGACTGGGAGACGTCGCGTCGTTATTTCGAATATCAACAATAGATTTGAATTGGATTGGATTGGAAGGAATCTTGCTATTCTGATTGACGTCAGCAATTTTGACTTCTATACGAATTTAGGACGCGATTTGATCTCCCTTCCCAGTAAGTTTATTAAACCATTTACGAACGACTTCGGGGGACCTTGCTCGTGGACTTCTATCTTCTAGGTTTGCCAAAGCTGCTGGATGGCCCATTGCCATAGATGGCAGCACCACCTCCATTGCCGTAAATGGCTCCGTTGCCGTTCATCATTGCCGTCTGTTTACGTTGCAGGGTGGAGGGTCCCATGGCGCGGGGATCGTCGTGACTGGGACCATCATTTAAATCCAAGCCGGCCACCATTTGAGCAATTTCTCGTTCTTTCTTCATATCTGGCGGATTGAATTGAAGACTAGCTAATGAGCCGTGACTGCGGCTGCGATGTTCTTGGCGTATGGAATAGCTAAAGGCTCGCTCGTTTAAGTGGCCCTTGCGTCGATAGATGCCAGTACCACCCGGTGATTCGGCTCCAGAGTTTCCTGAATCGTCAAGACCATTACCCATGGATGCGGCTAGTTTTCGACTTGACACCGACAATGGTCTTGGTTCGCCGATTACAGATTGCGCCAGAACACTTTGTGGCGGTGGTGGAGGTACAGGTCCCCCCATGGCCTGAGCGTGATGATAGGCATACATGGGTGGCACAATTGGCATTCCGACAGGGATACCTGTGTTTTTCTTATCCTTCTTTTTCTTCTTTGTGCTAGTCGTGGGCTGAAGTGTGGCGTACTGTTGCGGCATCATGACGGGCAGTTGCATTGGCATACCCATGTGTGGAGGCGGATGCTGCATCATTGGTGGCGGCATACCGGGATGGTGGGGTGGTGGACCCGGTGGAAAACCTCGATGACTAATTGTGTGATAGTTCCGACCCATCATCTGGGGCGGTGGTCCCGGCATTGGACCGTATATCATGTTTCCACCGGGGCCCGGAATTGGCATACCAGGTCTTTGCATTGTTGCCGGGTGGATTGGCTTTGGCCGTATCAAGGTGCCGGACAAACTTTGACTGCTCGATGACTTGGATGATTTTTTATCCTTCTTCTTTTTGCTACTCTCCTCTTTCATGGGTGGTGGGGGAACTTCAATTGGATGACTCATTTGTCGCATGCGTGCCGGTCGACCCAATGTTGATGTATTGCCTGAGTACATGTCGTAGGGGCTTTCCATAACAATGCTGTCCAATTGATCCTGTGAACCGCTCCAGACTTTGTGATTTGCATCGCCGTTGTAGAGCGATGCATCTCCATCATCGATGGCGACATTTAAATCCGCACTGCTACCGTAAACTGAAAAAAGAGAAAATGGGAAGATATTTTGATTATTAGGTGGCGTGTATGTTAAATATGTCATAGAAATGCCAAGTAAGGAAGAAAAATATATTTTTAGGCAGAAAAAAGTTTATACCAATATTTGAGCAGATTAAGCGGGTAATATTAAATATTATTTATTTTTCGTATACCGATCATTTTAATATCTATTAATAGTTTACAAACACTCCGTTATTTATTGTTTGCTTATTAGCGTCTCAGTCTCAGTGTCAGTGACCGTGAACTGAACGTGAACGAATTCTTAAAACCGCATATCTACTAAGGCACAGAAATTCAATATTTGCCCATCAATTAAAAGCAATGATTAGAGTAATCTTATATCTTTATTTATTTTAAACTAATTGTAGTTACTCGGTAACTGAAAGCCATTTATGCTGAAGCAACAAAAACAACAAAAAACAGTGGCAGCAGCTAGTATCTGGCATAACGCAACTTAAAATGAACAAAACGCAGTTAACCTTGGGCGTGCTATCACCTTTCGATTAGCAATGAAAAACGAACACGCACACACACACTAGCCACAAAGACGATCAGCTGACTGGGCGGACGGCCGTTCTGTCAGCCGGTGGGTTGTTTGAAATCTTTTTAAAATCGTAACGGCCGAAACGAATCGATCATCGTCATATGACTTTAATTGTTAAAAGTATGAATGAATGTCTGTAACAGTATGATGTGCATAACACATAGATCAGTTGATGTTGTTGTTGTTGTAGTTGTTTGTGACTCGCAAGTTGTCTATGGAATTTGACTGTCAAATTTAATTGGACAATTTGTAATTCGTTGCACAAATTTGTCGAAAAATATCAATAATGGTTTTATTATTGCAATTGAATATTAATTTATTTTGAGTTTTAAATAATTTGATGACACAAAATATGAAGGGCTGCCAAGGCCTTTTTTACGAGGCTTAACACTTGCTCAATACTGCGACATAAATTGTAAATCAATTTAAAGCTAATTATTAAATAATGAAATATCCAAATATTCGGTTCGTCGAATCTGTCCATGAAAAAAAAAAAATGATTTGCACTTCACAATTTTCCCTTCCATTATTGGAATATGTCCCTGCAGTAGTGGACACATCGATCATCTGCGATTCGTTCAGTAGTTGAGGCCTCTGACGCCGCCTCCAAATTATAAAGGTAATTTTATTGTATCGCCAATATAACATACATTAAGAAGTATTTTAATTCAGTATATAAATTCTGAAGAAATCCTTTTACCATCATCAACACATATGTACGTGTATCACCCTCATCTCTCGCCATCACTGGATAGTTGTTGTTGCTCTGGCAGTCGAAGCGTTTCCTATACTTTTCTGAGTTAAACTTATGATATGAAGCAAAGGCATAAGGATTTTCTGAACAAGGATTGGGTAAGAGCGAAAAAGAACATTGAAAATATAAATTTCTTGTTCTTGAATAATATCTCCTGAGCGAAATCTTTGTTAGATATTTGAATATCAAGATATTTTATCCTGTGGCATTTTTGTGAACAAAAAAATGACCGGGTTTTCGGCATTACAATTCGAATGTATATTTTAAGGAACAACACCATTTCCTTGTATGTTTTTCCATTTTTTATACCCTCCACCATACATAGTATGAAGAGTATATTAAGTTCGTCATTCCGTTTTTTAGACCCATCAAAGTATATACATATATGTTCTTGATCAGCGTACAATTCTAAGACGTCTGTTGTAATCACGCTACAGTAAAAACGAATTAAGATTGGATGCAAACATTTTGCACAGATCTGTCTTTTGTCTGCAGGCAGGTCAAGTTCGAAGATAGACTATATCGGTCCACGATATCGTAGAGCCTCCTTATAACGGTACCCCTTGATATTGGGTATTTTGATGATTTTAGCCACATTTGTCAATGGAATTGTCTACACAAGGAGATCTTTGTGAGTACTTTACTCCCCGAAATAGAATTGTCTATATAGGTCCACAATATCGTATACCCCCCATAAAACGGTACCCCCGATATTCGATATTTTGATAATTTTAGCCACATTTTTCAATGGAATTGTCTAAAATTCTACACAAGGAGATCTTTGTGAGTACTTTTCCCCCGGAAATAAAATTGTCTATGTAGTTCCACAATATCTCCCATATATCGGCATCTTCCGATATTCGCTATTTTAAAGATTTTAACAGACACTTCCGACACTTCTAACCCTATCGCAACGAATGGACTCATTTTTGGCCGATCTCTGACAGAGAAAAGGCAAGCGTGCAATAAATTAAACTTGTTAAAAATTTGTATAGTCAAATTACATTTAAGTGAATCCTGCAGACAAGTTTACGGCTTAGCCCGGATTTTTTCTCGATTTATATAAATAAATAAACCTTAAACAATTTTTCGAATGCCTGTCGTCTTTTGTTTCAAGATTAACATATCAGCCAATAAACCTGTAATCATGTTCATTTTCTCTTAATTTTTACGGTTTACAATTTTTTATTTATATATTTATATATATATATATATATATATATATATATATATATATATATATATATATATATATATATATATATATATATATATAATTTTGTTTTTTTGAATGTGTTCGAAAATAATTCAGTTTTTTTAGGTTTTAGCCTAATATAATTCCCAAACTTTAGGTGTTATCTTTTTTTTATAAAATGTGATATTCAAATGTCATATATGTATAGGTATGCTTAAGATATCAGTTATATTTTCGAAAGTGACAACAACAACTACATCAATAAAGGATCACATTTCCTCTTCAATGACTTAGTCCACCTATTGGCACTTTATCGGCATTAGATTGTTTTTAAACACAAACGATATCCAAAATTATTTAATGGTTGATAATTTAAAAAACCTAAGTGAAATTGGACTAAGGAAGCTCTTATTTTTGAGTAGATTGCTTGAAGACACTTTTCAATTGTTCGCAACCATCTAGTAAGCATGGCATCCAGTAAACAAGGCTAAGGTATTGTCCTGTACTGAACACCTCTAATATTTAACCTTTGATCTATTGTGATACATTTCACGAGATAAATAGCAAAACCTTCCCAAAATTTCTTCACAATAGATTAGTCTCAGTAAAACCAAAAATAATTATATTCATTTAAGTATATGTGCGTGCAATATCATAAACATATTTCTCCAACGTTTTTGTGCACGCGTTTAAGTACCCATGACCTCGAAAGAAAAAAGAAACGCAAACGACGAACAAGGGGTGCTACAAAATCTGATGGACATGTTAAATTGCAATTGGACCACCGCTTTAGTTTATCCATGAAAACAGTTCGACCTTTTATGGTTACAGCACGTACCAGTGGACATGAGAGAGGTTAACCCACTTTGTCACCCCATCAACGTCACCGTCATAGTCATCGTCGTCGTTATTCTTGTTGTTGCTGCCGTGTTTGTCATGTGTTAATATCTTTCGAGCAATTATTGCATTAGCCACAGTCATCGGAAATAGAGGTGAAGTGAATAGCATTTTCATAGTTTTCCTCGCGACTACCAAAGACAAGACCTGTGTTAACGGTACACCTTAAAGTCAGTCATGTACGCGTTTGATGATGACTCTATTCAACACCTCTACGTTTTCGTCTAAACTTTGTATCTAATTCTGTATATGTATGTACAACACGTAAGTACGTGTGTGTGTGAGTGCGAGAGAGAATTACAATCCGGCTTTTTTATTTGGGTGACAATATCGCGTTTTCATACTCTGTTACCATATTCCACTTTTTCATGTCAGAAGACCATATGTTGTACATTGTCGCATATCTATGTATGTCTGCATGTACATTCATAACAAATGTTATGTTTGGATGTCTGAAAGTATGTCTGTACCAAATAAGTTTGTCTTTGTCTGGTTTAGATAGATGTGTGCCACAACAACTTTTGCTCGGTCATGAGCTGTGTGTCTGTATTTTTGGATAAAAAGTGTAATGACCTCCCAAAGTAAGTACCTCTAGCCTATGACTCTTCGCAAAAAGATGCCAAAAATAAATAAATAAAAGAGTAACAAAGTGGGCACACTCCCAGTTTCGTTCATAGGGACAAGAATTAGATATATTTTCTTTCAATTCTACACAAAGTGTAAACTTATAAAATTTATATCATTTCAAATGATATATTAAGGAAGCTGACACTTAAAATGACATTATCTTAATCAAACGATCAATCCAACTCGTTATGAATAACTACAAAAACATCCGACTTTGAGCAAAACAGTACCTCCGTTTCGTTTCGCCTTAACATTGAATACAAATGCCTTAAAAATGCCAAATGCTTAATAAAACTTGTCCATATCAAATCTACTGTTAAATTATGAGCCTCTGAAAACGATAGATATCATGTTTTATCACACTAAGCCTCATTGCTCAGAGCTAAACAGCCAACAAGTGGCTGGAAATTCCAAACGTTCTTGACGTTTCACATTCGCATTCAAACTCAACATTGGTTGTTTTCAGTTGATCGTAAACAACGAAACGAGTTATATCATCGACAATATTGAAATCAAATCTCATAACGTCTGCCTTCGTAAGCATATCACTATTCCTCCAGATAATCTTGAGAATAAAAAAGAAGAACGAAAACAAATTAAATACAAAACTGTTCTTTTTCAAGAGCAATACTGGTAGAGAATAAGTATCGTTGTGCAGTAATAAGTATCGATATCCTAATATACAGTAGGGTTCATTTAATTAAAATCCGTGGGACTGCAGTTATAAGAAAAGATAATTTTTTGGAGACTTGAAAGTCTGCTATTTCGTTATTATTGCCAGTATAAATTCAACTCGACATAGATCAGTATTAGAATGTAGTAGATCAGGGCTATATTTTGAGATAAAATTATAGTTTTTATTGAATTAGACTGGGTAATACATTTTTTTATAAAATAACAAGAAAATGTTCAGTGATTATAAAACAGTATGCAGTAAAGGATATTTTGACGATTTTGGAGTG